GAACGCCTGGCAGAGGTGTTCTGAAGTCAGAACAAATTGCAGTCTATACCAGCACATGTTTTATGCGTCATGCAGTGCATGTGGGCGACCTTTGCTGCCCTCTCCAGTGATCGTCGTGCAGTGATGGTAGTGCTGGTAGCTGTACGATGGCGTTTTGAGGGGTCATAGATCCCTTTGGCGTAGAAGTAGAGCACGATGCGAAGGCTTCCGTGGTCGTTCTTGTCAGGTTGTAGAGAAGGTAGTTTTAACAATGAAGTCTCTGCGTATCTGCTTCGGCTTCATCTACACAGCCCCAAAATCTTATTTCTCAGAATTTGTTCTGACCAGGCCGATTCGTGCCAGTACTCAGTACAGTCTATCCTAGTTTGACCACAATTCGTTCTGGATTGACCCCGTCCCTGTTACTAAACTCAGTACAGAACTACTTAGACCAGGGCCTAAGGGCGTGGTCGGGAAAGATCGTCTCGGTTTTTGATCGGCTTCAACGATTTGGCGCTTATTTTACGCGCGTTTGATTGGGCAAAAAGGAGCTCGATCGTCTTAGTTTGTCAGCTTCAAACAGCGTAAAGTGAAACGAGTAAATCACCAGTTTCACTTTGAAGACGATCGGTTGACATGCACAAAATCGTTAAAGCGACAGTTTGACGAGATAAATAGTACTGACACACACAAAAACTAGTTGTTTCACACAGAAGGATGGGCGACGTGGATGACCATAGCCGCGCTATGAAGCCTTAGAGAGGCGCGATGACAACCGGAGCGCAGCGGAGGTCTGTCAGGGGACGGCGCGTAGGCCGGAGTTAGGTTCCGAAACAAGAACTTACAATCTAATCTGCGCGGGATCCTTGCCCGCCACGAGAGAAGCGAAGTTGGCGGCGCAAACGCCGCGCAAGTGTGGAGCGTAGCGACTACCTGCGAGACTCAATTATGGCTTATTGCGACGCATTAGAGGTCAAAAGTATACTTTAGCCAAGACAAATGATTTGCTCTGTGTTTGGACAGTAAATGCATGTGTTTTGCATGTCCTGTCCAGTTTGACTTGTTTTAGCATGCTAGACCAGCTACTGACGCTGCGGGGGCAGAAGCTGTCACGATGGGTTCCTAGGAAGCCGTGCCCTCAATTACTTCGAAAGAAGAGAAGCGTAGTAATTCTTATATCTTTGGAGTGTCCTAATCTTTTGTGGCTCATGTAATACGATCGGTTTCGCATGTGTTACACATGTGTTACACGAAATCTGGGAATTCGGGCGATGTGGTATTCGTCGAATCATCGAATACTATTCGATGGGTCCAGTACAAGGTACATTGTTGATCGCAATTCCCGGATTACATCTGCCGTTATAATTGGTGCAACCAGTGGTGGCGAAGGATAGTGTACCCACATGCTACTGATTTGATTGCTTCATTATTGGTTCCTGAGACACCTCTTTTTTTATCTCGTGACATCATAAAAGTGTTTTCTTGCTACTCAAAAATTGAATAACAGGTCTCTCGCCACTGGCAAGTGACCTGCTATTCACCACCTGTTTGTATTTAGTATCGCTCGGAATTCTGAACATGGCTCTTCCAACGGTTAGAAAGTGGGGGTACGAACCGCACCGTGCGATGAGCCAAACAATGCCAGCGATCGCGGAATCCGTGGCGGAGTACATTCATTTACAGTACTCGTAGCAAACCGGTGGGTACTTTGGAAATAGTACACTAATTTGGGAGTCGAGCATCACTGCGCGCTCCATCTCGCCGAGAAACAGTACTGCGAAACAGTCTTGCATAGCGTGCCAAAGCAAATCCCGTTCGGCATCCGCTCTCTTCCCGCAGGCAGATCTGAGGATACAGGTAAACCAGGAACATGTCGAGGTGTACG